TTAGGGCTTTAGGGTTTAGGGCAAAGCCAGAGAAGAGGGAGGCCCCAGCCGATGTTTGGTGACAGGAACTAGCATTTTATGCTTCAGCATGTGAGCTATAGTCTAAACTCCTTAAAGGGGATTTATATAGGGGGTTATATAGGGAACTACTATAGGGGCTATTTGGGGGGATACTAGGAGTCTAGACTACAGCGCATGTGAGCAACTGTCCTTCTTAGTGGTTACCCATGGGACCATTAAGAGCATACACAGGCACCCCTTTGGAAGTTTGGTTTGGTCCCGAATGTTTTCCACAGCCATGTCGATTAACTATATGGAACAAATTAGTACGTTTGATCACGCATATATTCCCAGATTCCGTTTAATTTTCCATTCTCTTCTCCGTTTGATGCTCCATCATCCCGAAACCCTAAATAGTAGCTTCCATTTCATTAGCCATTGTCTTTTCCATTTGATTTTCCAGTATACGGGATATATTGACTGTAGCTCCTGTGAATTCCTAGCGAGCTTTGGGGCTTCAGGCAGGGAGTCTGGCCACATGTAGGGTTTTTGGTTAGGCGTTTGGGTCCAGGGTTTAGGCTTTAGGATATAGGGTTCAGGAATAGGGTTTGGGGTTTAGGACAGGGTTTAGGGTTCAGAGTTTATGGTTTAGGCTTCAGGGCTTACGGTTTAGAGTTCACGGCTTAGGGCCTAGGATTTAGGGTTCAGAGTCTATAGTCTCCCTTAAGTAGATAGAATATGGCTTTGGGTATATCATAAGAAGATCCCCATATACCCCATCTTTATACCTAGGGGGACTATAGGGTTTAGGGTCACCCTGCAACCCTGTAGGACTCGCCTTCCAAGACTTCCTCGAAGAAGGACAGATCAGGACCGTGGCAGTCCATGGCAGTTTGCCGTGCAAGGGAGGGAGAAGTGCTGTTACTTGCTGGTGGTTAGTAGGGAATTATAGGGGAATATAATCCCAATAGAATCTCTACAGAATCCCGAGAGAATCCCTACATTATATATATACATATCTCTATATATATATATGTATATATATATATATGTGTATTCCCTTGTTCCTTTCTAAGCCCCAGTAAGCTTACTAGGCCCTCATTTGCAAGCAAGACTGAAGCAACGCCAGGAAAGCGGGCCGATAGCCAAGGCATTGTGAAGCTCAGTGCTGAAAGAGTCGGATATGACATATGGGGTTACATAGAGGTATGTAATGGAGAAGGAAATGGAAAGTACTACATCACAATAGGGCACATATGTATGTGTATATATATAT